TGGTGGAACCTCTTCTAACCGGTTCGGTAGATTTGACGAACCGGTTCTACCGAATAGGTGCGAACTGGTAGGAACCCACCTCTGCTCCCTCCCCTCCCTCCCTCCCTCATTTGTAGAAATGTAGGTAGGATTTTCTGAATGTATTATGGATGTTGGCATGTCTGTTTCTTTCTCTGTGAGGACTAATCCTCCCTTCTTCAGTCAGGCTTCCTTATGACAGGCAAGGGCAATTTAGAAAGCTGGGGGGGGGGGAGAAAACCAACCACCCTTAGTCACCTTAGAAAATGAACATCTTATCCTCCTGAAGCTTAAATAGCAGCAGGAAATCAGGAGAAAATAACTCTTTCTGGGTTGTCAGCTTTTATCAAGGCACTCATCTCCGCAGTAGGAGAAACAGAAAGTGGGGGTGGAGACAGGAAGGATTCACTTTAAACAGATTTTATCACCAGGCAGTATTGTACAGACCAATGACAGGGGGAAATAAATAAATAAATAAATAACAATATAAAGGGTCCTATTTTTATTTAATGTCACAGAGTCAGCTGAATAGATGGGTTCTCTTCGGTCAGGCTTGTGTCTTCAATCACTAATGGTAACTTAAAATGAAACAAACTGCCTGGTCATTTTTTGATTCAGGGGAAAAAAAACCGAGGAAGAAATGCTTCACTTATATATTTAACAAGTTTGTTTCCACAGTGTCTATTTAGTATTCAAACTGTACATCAGGGATCCCGAGTGCTTTGAATGCAAATCTGAATTCTGCCATTCTTGAGAATGTGCTTAAAGTTAGTGATGAAAACCTACTCGCTAACATTATAGGTGGGTATATTAAGGGGAGCAGAAGAAAGTTAGATGGAAATACATTGCGAGATAAACGTGTAAGGATTTTTTTTTTTTGAACAACAATAAAGTACTGGGGTTTCTTTCTTTATACCCTTTCTGACACGTATACAAAGGCAAAGGTTGATAACGTTTTGATGACCAAGGACTGCATTTAATCTTGGGTGTAGAGGAAATTGCCTCACAATTTTGATGCAGAAAGCTCAAGACGGTGACATACCATTTTATCTCCTAATTTGATAGGGAAGAACAGTTCTCGCTGTACTGAACAGCCTTATCTATGCATTAAGATGCTTCCTTGGAGGCTGAGGGGTTGGGAGAATCCACTGACAGTGGAATACCTTTCCTTTAGAATCTGCCTCTGCAAATATTCTCGCCGACTAAAACATTTCTCTTTGCCCAGGCATATTAACTTGTACACAGTACAATTCCCAAGAATTCAAGGGTTTCGCCAATGTTTTGTTGGCAGATTGTATTTTCAATATTTGTAGAAGCATTTTTATTGCTTCCCTGAATAACAAGAACCTCCTATTTGTACCCTGCTTCCCTAAACATAAGACCTCCCCGGATAATAAGCCAATTGGGCTTTTGAGCGCATGTGCTAAAATATGCCCTACCCCGAAAATAATCCCTCCCCAAAAACTATTGCAACAGAGCAGCAGCCATGACCATGCTCACTACCTCCTGCACCTCAAAAATAATAAGACCTTCCCAAAAATAAAGCCAAGCACTTATTTCAGGGGTCAAAAGAAAATAAGACCATGTCTTATTTTCAGGGAAATATGGTATGTATTTACATTTGTGTCTATGTTTCTGTATAGCATATATTGTCCAAATAATCAATATTGGAGCAATATTGCAGTGAGGACTTTACAGGCAAAAGAATGAAAGCAAACTCCAAATAACATAGAACAAAAGACAGCTTTTGCCCACTTAATGGGCAAGTCTCTCTTTCTTTGGATCAGTATTTCATAATCAGGATGCTAATACAGGAACCTATACAGGACGTATAAGCTAGAATACCTAGCTCATACGTCACCTCAATTGTCTTCTATTGTTTGGACATATTTCACGTAATATTATGATGGTCATAATATTAATATAATGGATTAGACACACTGCAGAACTTTGAACAAAATGAAGAGCACTGTAAAATGGTCCTTTAAATAATGCAATAAAATTGTGATGTAACAGATTGGGGAAAGGGGCATTTGTTAAATCTAAATACCTGTTAAATCCCAAATAATTTCTGTCATTTGCATAAATATATAATTGAAGTTTTTAGATCATTTGTGAGTCAATTTCTGCCATTTGCCGATTGCATAATGACACAAATTATGTAAATGGGCCTAAATGGAGTAAAATTGTCATTTGCATAATTGCTCAAATGATATAATTGGCACAGATGATATAAATTGCCTCAGTTGTCTATATGACTTCAGAAACAATGGACTTCACTTAGGTAACATTTTAAAACAACATTTTAACTGTTTTCATTCAAATTCTGATGAATATACATAGAGAGGAAGGCCGTATACTGTGAATCAAATGTAGGTAAACAGGTTCACAGCCCAAGTCAAGCATAACAGGGATCATCATCACACTTTTAGAGAAGCATCTTAGTCCTGCTGTGTAGCGAAAGATGCTGCCATGCTTGTGCCATGATGTTTTCAACTAGAAGCCTTAGAACCAGATTTGGCTTCTGAATATGGGTCTAAGATTTCCCTAAAAACAAGGGATTCCTCTTATGGATTAAAGGAGGAATGGCTTTTAATGCCACAAAAACCACCAAAGTAAATTGCCTTTTTTGTGCCCCTTTTTAGGATTTTGATTGGAATTAAGATGTTTTATTGTTAAAGTGTTTCTGCATCACGGTCAAGTTTGTTAACTGTATGAAAATGAACCAGGCGCAGAGGATTATAATCCATTTCTGTTTTCATAATTTCAAAGATGAAAATGAATAAAATCACAAAATGCTTCTGCTCCAAGAATATCATCATGAAGAAAACTGTGTACCTTTTATTTTTGGTAAAGCTGAAATTCATATATGGATACGGATATTTCTTTTGATAAAAGAGAGAGAAACTATGCAAAGAAAAAAGGTTCCAAAATTATTTTGCAACTGGTCCAAGATTGGCTGCAGTCCCTACTGAGCTCATAACAACTATTAGCAAGTGAAGCTCAACAGTATTTGGTCGTGTTCCAAGAATCCCTAGCTTTAGGAGGCTGCTGGAACGTTTGGACTTTGGAGATAAAGTTGTGGCTGCTTTGACCAAATTACTCCCATGGTGGCTGTGGCTATCTCTCAATTGAACTGGTGAGACTACCAGAAAAGAGGCTTTTGCAAGAAGCCAGGGGAGTCTATTGGGTTCCAAACTACAAAAATGTCTTTTGAACAGTGTAGAAGGATGAGTGATTTAGGTTCAAAAACTCATCATCGCTGAGAGGCAGATTAGAACACAGAATTTGTGATTTGAGACCAAAATGCCAAATTGTACCCTTGTTCTCACAGTACACAACATACCAACTTCAGAGAAGGCAGACTGGTTATTAAAGTTGAGCCAGATCAAACATGCATGTTAATCGGGGGGGGGGGGGGGACACTGACTTCCAGATACATTTTTGGATGCAAAGGTGTGGGCAGGTAATGAAACTATTTTAAATATATATATTTAAAATTAAGTGTGTTATTAAAATATTTTAAACATTAAGTTCTTGAAAATATTAAAATCAGACGTGAGAGCATCAAATACATTATAGGTGGTGTCTGCAGATATTAGCACTCTTGATGGGCCCTCCTTGAGGGATCTGATTCGACTCTACTGGAACTGTTCCCCTGTTGATAAATAATGTCACAGTTTAGCTAAAACTCAAAGGACCTCTTCACTTGTTTGTTTGTTTTACATCATATCATTTATAAACCATCCCCATCTGGCCAATTCTGGGCAGCATTTGTGAGCAAACTAAAATGAAGTATACCTCAAAAATTAAACAATACAATATAAATTTATCCTAAACAATACATGAACATCTTGCAAGCATCCCATGGGTTTCCCCCTAATTGTAGAAACAAATACAACATCTGACTTAAGAGCCATTTCTCCTCTTTTCTTTTATCTAAAATTGCTGAGGGCATCTTGAAAGAGAAAATAACCACCGAAGAGAGAACAGGCGAGCATCACCTTAAGATTTAGGATTGATACTACATTAAAGACCAGAATCTAGAGATTTAAGTAGGAGTACAGTATGTGTATGAGCCAGGCAAAACCCACAGGCAGCACCATGGTGTGTGTTTCATTGTATTTTTATGTATCATTGATATCTCTACTGGTCTAGTCCAAATGGATCCAAGTGGCTCACCAGCATCTCTGGCCTTTTGCATCTTTAGAAAATCCAGATCAACTTCCATTAAGTGTAAAACACAAAGCTACCAGTGTCTTGATGGAAGATGCTCCACCAAATGTTTAGTCTTCTCTGCTTCTTTGTGTAGCATTTCTCTATAGATTGGGTTAGCCTTATGAGATATGTCAGGTCCAGGAATCTACTGGAACTCTGTTGTTGCAAGGGTATAATAACCAATCCTGAAAAGCTTCTCTTTCTCTCTTTTTACACTCAAGAGAATCAAGGCAGAGTATTCTGAGTTCCTTCCTCATTCCTCCTCTCCATCTTCTTCTCAAGGCTTAGCTGGTGTTCTGTTCTTCAAGAACAGGAGATAGAGGTATCTCCTCTACCTTGGTGACTTTTGAAAGCCAGAACTACCAGCTGCATACAGAGGGGCCTGAATTAGTATAACCCAAACACTGAAAATTTGGATTATGCAGAGATCTGAAACTAAAGATCAAAATGTGATACAAACTTTGCATGGCCACACAAATGGCACCTATCAGTCTTTTCCTAGACTTGTTTATAGGAGCTGCAGGAAAAGCAACATTAATTCCAAATCTGTTGTCTTTCAAATCTGGATCTCTCTGCCCAATCTGCTCCATCCCACAGTCAGAGGTTGCAGCTGAACATGGAAATGGCTGTTGTCATTTGTGTTTACAAAACTTTCTGTATCCTCAAAAGATGGATATGAATAATGATTTTGTGCTCTTTTGAAAGGCGTGAGCATTTTTTTTTTCTTGACTTCTGTCTTTCTCTCATAGGGAGTGAAGGTTCGGGAGAAACCATTCAAAAGGAAACATCCACCTGTGACATTTGTCAGTTTGGGGCAGAGTGCGATGAAGATGCAGAGGATGTTTGGTACAGAAACATACTTATGTATTTATTTGATTGGGAAAATATGATTTCTTTGAATGTGACTATCCTAGTAGAGCACCCTCAAAAGACAATTTAGGGGAACAAAATGTGCTTTTTCTGCTGTATTAAGATCAATGAGGTATTGGATTTCCAAGTATGCATTCTCTTTTGTGTGTATAGTTTCTAAGATGATTAGTCACTCAGCATTGCCTGAAGTTGAGCAGACTCTAAATTTAAATAGATAGATAGATAGATAGATAGATAGATAGATAGATAGATAGATAGATAGATAGATAGA